CTTTTTTGATTTCTTGCAATTTATTAGTAGATTGGTTCCACTTGTATTGCCATTTTTCATTTAGAATTTTTTTGCATTCCAATCTCCAGTCAGCAGTGGTCGTTAAATTGATCATTGTGGTTCCATTAGTTTTTCTTCTTGCCAGGTTCGCAGCTCTGTCTGCAGCTTCGTTTCCAGATATGCCACAATGTGAGGGTGCCCATGCGAGGACGATGTCTCTGTCCGGCGACTTCTTCATTTCCCAGAGCCAGTTTTTGTTTTTCCTGGAAATGGCATTGTCGGCTTTCCCTTCGGCAATGGCTATTAATGAGCTTAAAGAGTCTGTAACTATAAGGCCATTTTTTATGTTTCTTTGTCTTGGTCTTTTATGTCTCTTTTGTCTCTTTCTTTTCTCTCATATATTCTTATATTTTGTTCGTTTTATTTCAGTTATCTTTATTTGCCTGATTCTACACTTAGGTAATGAGCGTCTGTCTATAGAGACAGACTGATATCATTTCGTCTCTGAAGATTACCTAATAAATAGTTCGAAACGTTAACTTACATAATAAAATATTTTTACAGACTTCGTGATTATTTATCATCTCTTAATTATACACAAAAAATAAAGTTGAAGTAGATTTGCCTAAGAGATGTATTGCTGTTTGTGAGGGAGAGAGTTATGTTATATTAAGTAATGAGTTTTTGTAACAAATAGGGTTTCCGCAGGGACTAATGTTAGTGACGTTGATGAATGCCAGGGGCATCAGTAAGTGGTGACGTCATTAGGAGACCTGATGCGTCATCTCTTATTACTAATGCCCTCCGCTGCTAAACTCTTCATTCTCATTTCCTTATCAACTTTCATATCTCACTGACTATTCTCACCTTTCGATATTTTCTATCGGTTTATCGCTGTTATTTTAATGTTCTGAATCATCATGTAGAGGAAATGTTATCAAGCTTTGGTATTATTCACGATTCGATATTCATATCTACTCGATAATATGTTACTATATCGATTATGATGCGTTATTTAAATCTTATTTTCGATATCATATCTTAGAATGGCACCAAAAAAATATTTCATCTTAGATTTTATTTTAAAATATATGTGTGTTATTGAGACATACATTGGTTAAATTCATGAAACAGTTCAAATGGAGAAATGACAGCAGTAAATAAAATCTAGATGTTCGTTGGTCAAATATGCTACATTATATCATGAAAATATATTGTTCATGAACACTGGATGAATATGGAAATATGAAATGAAAACCAGAGCACTCTTTCATATTGTATATTAAATCGTGTAGTATCTTTTCAACATCTAGAGTTTCTTTATTTCATTATTCAATCTTGAAGTTTAGCATGTCTCGCCAATGAATGTCTAAATAGCAAATAGGTATATGTTTTGACGAAATCTAGGATGTCATGTTTTCATTTCAAGTCCTTTGGTGGCCAAACTTGGAATGAAGTAAAAAAAAAAAAAAAAGTAAAATAAAATCTATATTGTTATATTTTAAAATACGTTTATAATAAATATAAACAAAAACAACTTATTAAATGAGGAAGGGGATGGTCCGGGGTGGCGGTCATAAATAGATTAAAATAGTGGCAAAACTATTGTATTAAAAGCCAACGTTTTGACCCAACTTTGCAAGTCTTCTTTAGGGAGGTGTGTTCAGCTAGGACTTTCACTCCTTTAGAGGCCTCAAGTCGACGAAATGAGACATGTATTCAATGACAGTACAACAATTAACGTAAGGTTGTGTGGATGCGAATCCTATGCCTTGCGTTATTTCGAAAAAAGTACGTTTTTGGGCTTAAAAACGCAGGATCCGATAGTTCCGGAGGAACTATCCGGGTCTTGCTGTACGCATCAAAATCTTCAAGGTCCAATTTGTCCCGTATCGATCTACAGACCTACCACTGTTCAGGTATTGAAGCCTAGGAAAATGTTTGTATCGACTTTATTTAAGAAAGAAAGAAAAACAAAAGTGGAGAATACGATTCGCTAACCCCCCGTGAAATTCTGAATCGAACGGTACCCCATTCATGATATTTGAGCATGACAGGAGCTTATATTTGGTACAAAACCGATTTCGAGTCTTACAGTAATAATATATGGATGGATGTGTGGATGGACTGTTCAGTTTATTTCTGTTCTGATTAGTATGGGGGGCTCATTGTCAGTCTCTTGTCCAAGTGGAATCTCAAATATCAACTTTTTTCAGATTTAAAAATCTACATTTGTATTAACTTGTTGTTTATTACGAATGCACTTGTACAATAAATTATTAAAAAGAACAATTATTTAGCTAATATGTGAGTAACTCATTGGGGAAGTAAATTTCAGATGTATACATCGTCGTAAACCAACGACTTTCTGTCCTACAGTTTCCTTTAACAATACTCCACTTATCCCTGTTGAGCAAATCCGATACCTAGGACTCCACCTGGACAAACGATTAACTTGGAATCCTCATACTAGACTGAAACGACAAGAAACCGCTCGACGTTTCCGATTACTTCAGCACTTACTAGACAAACGTTCTAAACTTCCCATTAATTACAAAAGACTCATATACTTGACTATAATAAGACCTATTTGGACTTACGGAGTTGAGCTATGGAGCTCCACTAAACCATCGAATTCCTCTCGCATCCAATCCTTACAATCCAAAATCCTTCGTAAAATCCTCAATGCTCCTTACTTTGCCACTAATAAAATTATCCATAAAGATCTTAATGTTCCTTATGTTTCAGATCTGGCCCAATCCAGATACCTATCCTTCCATAATAAACTTCAGAATCATCCCAACCCTCTCGTTTCTAACCTTGCTTCCTCTTCAATTCCTGATAACCCTCCGAGGTGTCTGAAAAGAAGATGGTCCCGTGATCTCCTAATGTAGTCATATCATTTGAGTGCTACCATTGGGTAGTTACTCAGCAAGTGTATTCATGTCATTATATCAATTATGTCCAGATTTACTTGATGTATTTATGTAATACAGTTGTAAATGTCATAAAGAAATAAAAAAAAAAAAAAAAAAAAAAAAGATGTATACATGACTTAAGTCTTCAAGCATTGACAACAGTGGTACGGACGAGATATATTCGGAGAACAGACCCAGCTGCAAAATGAATTCTGTTGTCAGCTAGATATAGGATAGACCCCTCAGAGGGGACTGTCAGCCCGATAGGGAATGGAAGAGGAGAGGTCTCTTACGAGATTACCTTCCACTCTCGATGCTTTATTCTATACGCCATACCGTTGGCTTTTGTTTATGGTATACCATTTTTGTCGTTGTTTTATCAGCATAGAGTTAATAATTATTATTAGAAATTAATTCGAAATTATTTACTATTTGTAGATGTTCTTAATTTAATGAATTTTGAATCGTTGCAATATTCGCTATTATTTAACTACTCCCGTGGAAAAGTTGGTGTCTTGTTAAAAGTAACAATGCATGTACTAACTATAAACGTTTGGGACAAATTATGCTAAATATACAAAAGCAGGTATCTTTTATGGGACAGAAAGTTGAATAATGTTGTAGCCATAAATTGTAGGAGGACTGACAACATCTCCTGGAGAATGACAGCATAAATCTATTAATGGTTGAAGCAGGTCGATTCTAACCCTTTGAGGCAATAACTCTTTGAGACAAAGGAATTAACAATATTAGTAATAATAAATAAATAAAAAAATAGTAATAATAACTACTAGTAGGCCCGTGCGAAAAATTCGCACAGCATATTGTTATCAAATGGCAAATTAATAAGAAAATAAAATAATGCAACCTATCAAAAGATAAAGAAATCAAATATTCTTTTATCGATAAATATAATCTACAAAGAAAACAAAAATTAATTTAAATCTTCATTTCTGTTTGGAACCAATATGTTTACAAATTTCAATAAGCTGTATCTTTGATAAAAATTGTCCGACTTCGATGATTTTTTTTTCCTTTTTTAGGGAATAAAGTAATCTTTTATATAATCATGGGCATAACAGAAGGGAAAAGTGTGTATTTTTTTAGTTTTTCGCAAATGAAGTTTTCTTTCATAACTTGTTTGCCTGAATTTTAGGGGTGATTGGGCTATTTTGTTCACCTGAAAGAGAAGGAAGCCTTCGAAATTGGTGGCTCAATCTTGAGATTTGGTGAAGCATTAACGATGATATGACTTGCCGATCAAAAACACCATCGATAAATAATATAAACTCCTCCTCTCTCGATCATAGAGACTCAATCGACGAAATGAGACATGTATTCAATGACAGTACTACAATTAATGTAAGGTTGTGTGGATGCGAACCCTATGCCTTGCGTTATCTCGAAAATAGTACGTTTTTGGGCTTAAAAACGCAGGAATATCCGGGTCTTGCTGTACGCATCAAAATCTTCTAGATCCAATTTGTCCCGTATCGATCTACAGACCTACCACCGTTCAAGTATTGAAGCCTAGCAAAATGTTTGTATCGACTTTATTTATTTTAGAAAGAAAAACAAAAGTGGAGAATACGATTCGCTAACCCCCCGTGAAATTCTGAATCCAACGGTACCCCATTCATGGTATTTGAGCATGACAGGAGCTTATATTTGGTACAAAACCGATTTCGAGCCTTACTGTAATAATATATGTACGGATAGCTATTTAACTCGCGTAAAGGTTACAAACACTTTTTTTTTTAATTGATAAGATTGGTTTTATTATCTTAGAGCGGCGAAGAATAAAGACTTAAGGACCAGGGTGGGTTGTTAAGTGGTGTGGAAGTAAAGGATAAGGAGTTAGGCGAGAGGCGCGGGTCGAACCCGAACATAGGAGACCCCTAATTAGGTGGTTTGAGTCAGGTATCTCCTACGTGAGCGGATTAACTTGTTCGCTGTGCAAACATCACCGGGTCCCTCCCACTCTGGTAATCTATGAGGCACTCCCACCTCCTCCTTCCCCCTGCTTTAGCTAGCTCCTTTCTTCTTTCTCTTTGTAGTTAGCAGTTCGCTTTGCTCGGTTAGATGGTTATCCTTTACCGGCCGAAGGGACAATGGGAAGGGAACCAATGGATTAGAGCGGGCATTGGCCTGCGGAGTATATTGAGGCTACCACTAAGTCGTTCAGAAACATTGTAAGTCAAACATCGATGTTTAATAAGTGTAATAATTTAAATTACATATTTGAATTAAGTTAATAAAAACCTATTTAAAAAAAAAAAGTTTCATATTTTTCTCACGTTTCCGCTAAATTTAGTAATGTTTCTATCATTACTAGACAGAGAAATTTTTTTCATCAAGTTTGTATTATCTTCCTTGCGGGTGGGATAGGTCAGTCAGTAAGGCACTGTAGTCCTATGCTTCAGATACTTGATTCGAATCCTGCTGATTATTATTCTTTATTCTAATATATATACACTGACAGGCAAAAAATTCCACCCATTTGTTACCCATTAAGGAACCACATTAGAAAGGTTGGCTCTGGGAAAAATTACAGGCTGCATTTCTTTCGTTTCTTCTTCTCCACACCCTTTCACGCCCGTCTGGAGATCGAAGAGCGAATCTTGACTCATCTGTAAAAAGTACAGCACTCCATTCGTCCACAATCCAATGGCTGTGTTCTCGAGCAAAAGCCGGCCGTGTTACTCTGTGAGTTCTGGTCAACTCTGGTCCTCTTACTGGACGAAAAGCCATTAATCCATACTCATTTAATCTTCTCCGAGCGGTACGTTCAGAAATTTGCACACCTCGAACTTCTTTGAGCTGATGAATCGCTGAAGTCAAATTCTCAAAGTCAAAAACCGGTCATCCCGTCTTTCTTTTACCCTAGGCCGTCCAGAACCGGGCCTTCTATTGTAAGAACCAGTTTCCCGAAACGCCTGACGGCGTCTCGTAAAGTTTCATATGGAACTCCGATGGCATTAGCTGCATATCTGATGGAACGTCCATCATCAATAAGTGCCACACCACGCGCATAAACTTAATATTGAAAAAATTAAAAGCCGGAGACTAAGAAATGTGCTGCAAGAAACGGCACTGAACTAATGATACTGAATAAACATTTTGATTCCATAGAAAGTAAACATTGAAATCTAGAATCATTTCATTGAATTAAGGATTAAGGGTTATTGTCCTCTAATTTAACATTCCCAATTGAAAACAAACAAAAAGATTACCTATTTATTCATTAAAAATAATAGACCAATCCAAAGCAGAAATATTTTTAGATCAAAACATGAAAAAATCAAGAGGGTGGAATTTTTTGCCTGTCAGTGTCTTTCAATATTGTTGATTTCGACTCACTTTATTTGTGATGATAAAAACACTCTTTAGATCCAAATACTTCTACTTTATTTTTAATCTTTATCCAATGTTTCAGGCCATTTTCAAAAAGAAAAAAATATTTTAATAAAAAAAATATTAAGCACATTTTCAACTGCTATGAGCAGTTTGGTTCTATGGAAAATAGCAGAGGTAAATAAAATATTAATTTACACTAATAAATCATAAAGAAACAATCAGTTTTAATTAAGACAAAAAAAATGTGGCGTTGATATCGTTCAAATTACTTCCCCTTAGCTTCCGCTGAAGTACTTTAATTTTTTTTAAATTAATTAACCATTTCGCATAATTCTTTAATATTAAAAAACGATAAATATTTTTTTTTGTCTATAAAATATGTATTTCCACCTGTCAACAATAAGTTGACAATCAGCAAATGTGATGGCGATAATGATATAATGACATGACAGGCATGGGTAAGGAAAGTACTCAGCAGTACCTTTTCCCTAACTTGTTCCAATTACTTAGGTTGTCTAAGGAAGGAGATCCCTCATCCAACGCCTTTTTAGTCTCCTCCTCATGTTCTGAGGTATGTCAGCTGTGGCCATGTCTCTTATAAGTCTGCTATTATGTCCATTTAAATTTGTGTAAAATCGTTGATACAGGGTCGTTATATGTTGGTCAACTGTTGGAAAGTGGAGGTCAGTATGTAGAGTTTTGTTAGTCGCGTACCAAGGTGCTTTTGTTATGAGTCGCAATAATTTTGATTGGAACGTTTGAAGTTTTTGTAGGTGGGTCTTTTTAGCGATGCCATATATTTGTGATGAGTATGTCCATATGGGCTTAAGTAAGTATGTATATGTATTCAGTTTCTGTTTTAGTTTTAGTTTTGAAGATTTGGCAAAAAGAGAGTAAAGTAGTTTGAGTCGTTTGTTAAGTGTTCATTTTAACATGCGGACCCCATGTCATCCTTCTGTCGAAGGTGAGTCCAAGGTAAAGTACCGTGTCCGTTTGAGGAATTTGATTGTTGTCAATATAAACTGGAGGACAGGTCGATAAATATTAAATATAAAAGAATTTGATAATTAACTAAAGGAGAAATAAAAGATCGTTACGGATAATTGTCGAAATGGAGGACCCAAAGGAATACGAGCGTAGTTTCAGAATTTTTAAGCTATTCATTGATAAGATAATTTTATATTTTTTACTAAGCTTCAATTTATTTAATTAATTTAAATCTATCTTGAATGAGTATGAGTTGATACCCTTTTTCCTTTTTTTTTTTTGTTTTAAAGTTGATCCGCATCCGAATTATGATTTAAAGAAGCGGTAAAGCTAAGAAAGTAAAGATAGTCTTGAGGAGGGTTGAGCCAGGTGCGAATAAAGGGAAAATTTAAATTTATTTTTCATATTAAGGAAGGGCGGTGAAATAGGCAGTTAAGGTTGAAATCAGGAAGAGGTCGGAATAATTTAAATAAAGTGGAACTAAACATATTTAAACTTGAGCAAGTTTTAATAATTCTCTCGTTTCCATTATATTATTTTCCTCCATACTTTAAATTCAGCCGAAGAGCAAGGTAACATTTTGTTTAGGAGCCATTTAAGTTGAAATTAATTCAGCAAGATATTCCTCAGACGAGAACCCGGCGAAATAAGTTTTCAAATTCAAGGATGCGATTACAGTTTAACTTTTTGCTTTAATTATTCCACACGGTTTTCCTCTCCCATTTTTTTTTATTTTTTTACTTTCAAATTATAATTTTTTCTTAATAATTTTTTTTTGTAAAGCTTTGTATTAGCGGAAAGATAAAATAAAATTGATTCCATGTCTGTTACCAAATCCATACAGGCATTTCATTAATCGTTAATACCTTTCATTAATGATTTTAATTTTCTTGATATTTTCATTCATCTTGTACTGGCACTGGTACATAGTTCATAGTGCGGATTTCCAAACGTACTCTTTGTCCAATTAATTAATGAAAAATGATCCAGCATCAATATTATCAATTTTTTTTTTAATGATGATATTTACAACTATATTACAAATAAAAATACATTCAGTAAATGTGAACAAAAGAATATAATAACATGAAATCACTTGTTGAAAAACTACCCACTGGTAGTAGCACTCTAAAAATGTATTTACAAAAGGAGATCTCGAGGCCATCTTCTTTTCAGACGCCTCGGAGGGTACTATCAAAATTGTAATCCCTATTTTACATTTTACCTATTTCCAATTAACGATTAAAAGTAATAAATTGTTGAGAATATAATAGCTATGAATTGAGGTATGCAGTAAACATATTATAATAGCAGGTTATATCGTCGGCACCATGTTTAAGTAACTAATGTGAACCTTTACAACGTTACTTTACAACACGGTGCCAGCACTATAAATAACACAATATTATAGATTTATATTCAGGAATTCGGGTGCGGTGGATTTTAATAAATAAGATATCGAATATAACGAAAGAATATTTCATGAAGAAGTGACGTATTTCAATTTGAATAAAATAGTTTTAATGCAATTACAACAAGAATCTTTGTAAAAATTGGGAAGTTTAAAAAGTCAAATGGTCCAAAAGTTGACTGATCTAGACGGGATAAACAGTGTTTTAAACATTTATTCCTCCTTTAAAATACACCTTAAAGGATGTGTATACAATAACATTAAATATATATATATATATATATATATATATATATATATATATATATATATATATATATATATATATATATTGAGGCATTCATTGTTACGTAGAGGCATCCAGATGGATTGCTATGAGCTACATGCCCCGCCCATCTTAACCTAAGTGGAGCATTATTAAAGGGTACTATAGGACAGGAGGTCATAGGTTTACGGAAAAATGATCTTGATTTCTTTGCCTCTTCTGGCTGATTCACTTGGATTTAGAAAATCGTGTTTCTTTAATAATGTCTTGTTAAAAAAAGGATCTGGTGCGGTGCGCACATCACACAACTTCCACTTACCACCCTCTTTGCAGAAATAAGTATTTTCAGACAAAGGAGAAGTGAAAGTAAAAATTATAGACGCTATAATTATTTATATTTCATTGTGGATATTTTTATTTGTATAAGTACCCTCATATATACAAATTTTAATATTTATATCGGTGCAATCTATACAATTAAATATTAAATAACACCAACGAAAACATTTAGGAAAACCGCATATGTATATTTATATAATATTTTCGGAGTACCTATTATATTAAGCTCATGTAACATATGGAAGCCTGTTATAATCTTTCGGGTGCGATCAATTACAACTATTCTCTGTTACAATTTTTTATTTCTACTTTAATTAATTATCAAATTCTTTCATATTTTATATTTAACTGTTTTTATATTAGACATTAATGTGAAATAGTCAATTGTTTGAAATAAAAGAAATTAAAGGAACTTTAGAGGAAGCTAATATTAAAAATTAGCCATTTAAACCCTGTTAGAGAACATCAATCAGAATAAAAACTACATTTTACATTGATATAATGAATTAGAGCCGTTGCCGAGAAAATTATAAAAATGTGTTTAGCCCATAATATAAAGTGCCACTTCCGGTCAGTTGATTTTGACGAAAAGGTTACCGTAATATCTCTACCATATAAAAACCTTACATATGCAATCTCACTTTCGTATGACTTTTCGTTTTTGAGTTAGGCTGTTAACACACACACATACACCCAGATCATTTTGCGGTACTTGGTTATTTGGACTCAGTGGACCTCAAAACGTGTATTTCCATTGATAACTGAGATTCAAAAATTTTTTCACGATTGCAATACTTTACTATATATTTCATATATAGGTAAGTGAAATTAAA